TAACTACAAACGTCAATTTATATCTATTTAGCAAGCGTCCAACGACCCTGAAGCGATCGACCATGATTCATAGGAAACATTCGCGTTCGAAAACAAAACCTTGCGTCCATTGTCTCGCCCGCGATTCGACGCCGCAACAAAAAACTCGAAGCACGTAATACATGAAAAGTGTCTTTACAGTCGTAATTCAAAACAGTGGGCACAAAAGAGAGAGCTGCCACGGACGATTGATATCACAAGCGCACCGGTACAGGTAACGTCGATATTTGCAATCGCGCGAGAGGGGGGACGGGGATAAAATTACTGCGACCGCTGGTTTATTTATCGCGGAAAGAGGGAGGATCGAAGGGCCACGCGAAAAAGCAATACCCGACCGACGAAATAAAGCCGTTTCTCATTTCTCGCCGCGGAAACGAAAGTTTCTTAAAGAGTGAAGAATTACCGTCTGCCTTTGCGTGGAATATTACGATCGACTGTGCACCGCGGAATACAATTCAGTGTAAAACGGGACACAGAGGAAAAAACAGTCGTAGGGAAGCGAGGCAAAGTGCGATAATCAAATAAGAGAAGATTGGACGAAACGAATGAAACTCAACGGGAAGTAGTTTCGGGCGAGTATCATAAATCTCTAAATAGGAATTTTTAACTCTGTTGACCAATGACCAAAGTATGCTGCGTTATCCGAAGAATGGAGTATGATTCTAGGTGGCGGTTCATTCGTAACGTTTAAGGAAACAATTGTTCGGGTGAGACTTGCTAGGTCCACGCGAGGCTTGATTAAATTCTAATTTTTATTGCATAGATAACGAATCAAAAGCTGTTTTACTTGTGTCTTTGGATAACAGAGATTCTACTCTAACTACTTCATTGCTATTACGTAATTGCTTCTGAGTTTGTCACGGATATCAAAAAGTACCACGTGGAATATGGATACGCTAATCGCCGATTCGACCAGTGATGCCAATGAATTCAGGCTTTTCCAAACCTACCTGCTCTTATCTTCCAGACAGCTGTCGCTACCTAACCCAAATGAAATTCAAATTAGCCTGTACAAATCACCTCTCGGATAAACAATATTCCAATAATGAAAACCCTACCTAAAGCATCCATAACTCTCCTGACCATTTCTCGGCAACCGATGGCAATGAATACTCGAATAATGAAACTTCCATTGCGCAGATAACTGCTCTGACAATTTATCGAGCTGACTATCGACGCCAATGAGCGAAACATTTCTCAAAAAGTAAGCGAATCGACGTTTCACGGGAACGCATCGTTTCCAGCGGTTGATGTGGCGAGCCAGATCTAAATGCCACCTTGGCTCGCCCGTTTGGGATCAAATTTCCGCGAAAGGGAAGAGCAAAAGCGAGAGAGAGGTCGGGTCCAGTTAGCCCCGAAGGATCGTCCACATCTTTATGCAGATGCAGACATTCCCCCGGCGCTTTGTAAATTTCCAGGGCGAGAACCTCTTAGAGATCGCGGCACACGCGCTTTGCGGATTTTTCAATCACGTTCCGTACTGACGGGATTAATAAAGCGGCCCCGCGCTACACGAAGAGTTTCCAGACTCATTTCATGCAGAATCGAATTGGATTTCCAGGTCGGGGACGGTGTATATCTGTGTGCAGTGGAGATACGACCGGCGCGCTCGTCCCTTTGATGTGCTACGCTCGGATACCGTCGAGCTTTCTCTCGAGCGATGCAGGCTCCGCACTTTGTTACATCGCCACTAAATAATCGGTTTATAAAAATTCATGGCGAGTCTAGCGAGGCGACGGGGGTTTATATATCCGCCCACACGTTTCCCTCGTGTCGCCGCATAACGAACTCTGACGAATCGAAACAGACGAAGGCGAAACGCTTCGAAAATTCCAAAAAAGTAAATCCCCTTTTCAGCTGCCCTTTTCGAGGGCCAATTCGAGAACAGAATACATCCGGGTGTGTTTCGTAAATATCTAAATTTAACTAAATGCATCGGATCGTGTTCGACAAATTCACGAGTTTTAATTCATGAGAATAATTCTTTTCTAAATGAAGAAGAATTTAGATATCCATAATAAGAGACTCAACTTCTACCAATCTCGATATCCTCAGTATGCGTATACTGGCGCCAAACTCGAGCGAACAAAATAACACGTTTCTTTTGGACCCTTAATTGCGAGTTGATAACGAATGGCGAACATAATCCCTCGCGAATAAATTAATAACATCGGACTATTGGCTAGGACGCCAGCATGTTTATGATAATATACAATGTTATATGTATTATAAACGCTTTACGGTAGGATGGCTACCAAATGGCTTAATATGAGTAATTTATTACCCCACCCTGCCATCGTACAATTTCTAAACACCCTTATAATTAATTTCATAACCACCCTCCAATATTTATAGAAATATGATGAACACGATAAAGCTGGAAATTCGTCGTGTCTTTTTTTACACTTGAATATTAGCAAACTTGTCGCGGGTTAAACGGAGCAACTGCTTACTCGAGGTTGACCAGTAAACCAACCCTTCGGGATTATGCGTCGATTTTCTATTTCGATAGTGTGAATTATCTATGCGCGTCCGTTCACTGCCTGGGGTATGAAAGCAAAGGATTATTGGAGATTACACGGAATTATTGTAATCTCCTCAATTTCGGTACGATTCTGACATTTCCGTACAAAATAATCCCCGTATAAAAATATTCCCTGTACATTAGCTACCTCTGATTGAAATATTGGTTTGTCTGGAAAGTCCATGCCGACTTTTGTTAAGTGGTACGGGTCTGAATATATCGGAATAGTAGAAAACAAGTAACATGTGTACATCCCTCAAAAGGGATTTTGTTCCACAAGCAACAAAGGGACAAAATAGTACTTGTAATGGGCATTTCAAAAAGTTCGTGGCGTTTTGTCGCTAGATGGATTTAACATCGTATATCATTGTTTACACGTAACCTATTGGGACATACTAGATGTCATTTGAAAAGTTACAGATTTAACAGTAACAACGTCTTGAACATGGAGATAAATAATGAGAAAATTCGCTACATTCTACAATATCAATGCTACGCAGACTTGTGAACAAATTTGTGATGTTTACGGACAAAATGCTCTATCAAAATTCTGATGTCAAAGATGCATCACGCTGTGGTCGACCAATCACAGAACGATGAGATGAAATCATGCAAGTGGTTGAGAAACGCCACGAACTTTTTCGAATACCCAATAAATTCAATAAATACACATGAAAATTCAAACATGCCTTTGAATTTTTCTTAAAATTTGGTACGAACTTTCTGGATAACCAAATACTATAAATAAATCATATGTCACGATTTTCACAATTAACAGCTATCGTAAGGAAGTCAACACCCCCAATTAGAAGCGACCTACCACCCAAAATTCGATATACCTGGAAAGCTCGTTAAACAGAAATTAGTAACTCCGCGATTATTCGCAAATGAACATCCACGGGCAGTGATCCGATAAGAAATAATTCCAACTAATGTAATTGTACGAGCGGAGCATGGCGAAAGAACTCTGATGAAAAGAAAACGTCGCTCGCTAAACACGGTATAATTAGCGCCGTGGAGTCGATCGAAGTAAATTCGATAGAGCCGAGCGACGTTTCGTCTAGAGTCGTCGGAAAGATTGAGCCGTCCTGCACGATCGAGGAAGACGAGAATAACGGGGAAAGGTTGTCGCGTAGGGTTGAGGGGTTGAAGCTGGAGGGTAGCAGAGTCGGAGGATTGGTACGTTTTTAGTGGTTGCAGCACTCGAACGTGCCAGAGCGAATATATCCTGCACGAGTGCATGCATACGTGCGAGGCTTGTGACACGTGTGCGTACATACACATCCGCAGGGTGCCTTTATTCTTGGTATCTCGGCGCACGTGCAAAAGCACCGGACGGCTATCCGAATATTTTCCTTCTAATTTAATTTCATCCGACCGGGAGTGCAGCGCACGCATTACTTCGCACGTATCCGGGCAAGAGGGAACAGATTGAGATCGAGAAGGGGGGAAGGAAGAGGGATAACGATGCACGCCCGTGATTTTTCAAAAGGCCGATTAGGAAACGTATTTCACGCGCTATAAGGAAGCAATAGCACCTCCAGTTCTAGGAGGAAGGTGTAATATTTATATTACAGAGTAATTTAGTTACTAGACTTTACGACTGGGCGGTTCGGCGATAAGCTTGGAAAATGTAGGAGCTATGCGAGAAGATGTCTCTCAAGAAGTTTCTTAAATGGTGGCTCTGAGGTCCCTAAGAATCCTGTCTCTAATTACACATTAGAATTAATACCCTCGCATTAAATTTATTGTCTCTGTAGGTCCCTTTAAGGCTCCACTAAAAATACTGTAATTAACACCCTAAAAATTCGTGAATATCCAGGCGGAAGGGAACGATTTAACATCGAAAGGGGGAAAGGAAATTGCAGGGATAACGATGCACGCTGGTGAAGTTTTAAAAGGCCGATTAGGAAACGTGAGGGCGTTCTACTGGTTTTCCCTTACGACCACGAGGGAGACGTAATATTTAAATGTTGATTACTGCGGTCTCGCCTGTCTCTCTCCGTTACGCGACACTCGAAAACACTTGAATTTAGAGGAACTCGCGGTACATTTATCAAATGCCGCTGCATCCACGTTAAACCATTCGGCCGTATTTTATACAGGCCGTATCCGAAGGTATCAGCGTCACCCTGAATCGTGGGGTGATCTCTAAATCGAGATTAATCGATTCGCCATCCGTTCGGTTCATGGAATATTCTTTTGCAAGTTTATTTACTCGGAAAACAGGATTTTTTGCGAGTATTCAAGAGACGATGCACAACAATTTTTTAAGCCTTCGAACGTTTGTCCAATTTTTTCGACTTTACGTTTGAAAAAAAGAAAGAAAACAATCACGTTACTACAATAATTGTAAATGTTATAGTGACGATTGATGTTTAAGAATTTTCCTTACATAAGTAAACAGACAATTAATTCAACTTCGTTTCTGTTACAGTGTTGTCTGTAAGAAACTGCGCAGCATCGTCAGACACGAACTCAACGAAACTCGCAGTCGAAGAGGAAGATGACGAATCGTTAGAGAAGACAAGGCTAGACGAGTTCAAGGAGAGATACAGGAGACTGATACCCTATCTAACGTTCTACGTCGTCAACAACATAGATGGCGAACAAGTTCCGACACAGCAGGGCACCGCGAAGGACTCTCAGAGCAGTCCTTCGGCGAAGCAGAATCTACAATTGTCTGCCAGGTTCCTCAACGTGCCCAGGAAAGGTACGCACCGAACGAACGTGCAAAGCCAGGAAAGAAAATTCGTCCCTTCCGTGCAGTACGATCCCCACAGTCTAGGGAGCGACAACGACTACTTTATGCCCGTTAGGTACAATTCAAAAGTTAGCTACGATGATTACCTCTCGCCGTCGTACCAAACCTACCAAGATCGCAAGACGATGTATCCCGACGTACCGACGCCAACCAGTCAGGTCGCACCCAAGGAGAACAGGTACTACGCAAACGTGAGACCATTACGACCTTACACGACACACGGCAGGAATCACTTGCCTAGGAAACAATTGACCAACAAGCCAAGCCTCGTTCGAGGCGATTACGTATTGGATTATAACGCTAGACCAACCAGCAATACCAATTATCCAATCAAAGACTACCAAGGTCATAGACACATCCCACCTTCAGGACATTCTAGCCTACCAGCGCTAGAATCTATCACTGGGAAGCCACCGCCCATGGTCCCTCAACTGCGGAATCCAAACGTGAACCTCGATCAGATAATCGAGAGCCTTCACCTGAGCGAACGCTTGCCAGAGATGCTGAACAAGGACAACATCGACGTCAGCTTGAAGACGCTCGTGGAGATACTCAACATCCTCCATAACACGAAGAACGAATTGCTAGAGATGCGACCACCGCCGCTGCCACCATTGGTATCTCCTCCGCCGAGACAGAAGGTAACAAACTTCAAGGCACGACCCCAAACACGACCGAAGGTGATAACGGAATCGCGATTCCAAGCGACTCCCAACCCCCTTTACCTAACCGAGGACCCTGAACGGTACAAAGCAACGTCGTACGAGGATGATATAAAACCTAAGGTGCTGGCTACACCGAGCTACGTCTCAGATGGTCTGAATAACAATAAAGTGGTAGAGTACTATCTCCCCGTGGTGCAGGATGTCTCAGAGAAGGGGAAAGATGTATTTCTGCCGACAATGAGAACGCAAGTGGACGAGAGTTCCACAGGGCACTCTTACGAGATCGTGGAAGATCTGAGCGACGACGTACTGCAACAGGAGCACTATACTTTGTCGCCTCCTACCACGGAGAGTTCAATCCCCAGCTACACGGAGCCAACAAAAATCCCGCAGCAAACTAACACCGAGACTAAACATGGCGCTACTCGAGGAGAGGCTCACGTTGATTATCCAGCCTACTCCAATATACCTTTTACGAACTTCAGCTGCAAGGATCAACGCTACAAGGGATTCTTCGGTGACCCGGACACTGGGTGCCAGGTATACTTTTAACCTTTCATCTAGAGGTCCTGGACTTAGCGAACCTACTGTGTTCAGGATAAAGTAGGTTTATATGCAATATACGGACTCTGCACTCGCGGGTAGAGATTAGAGCTGTTCGAGTACTCGGAAAAGGCGAGCCGAGTGAAACTCGGCTCGAATGGCCGGTCCGAGTCGAGTACTCGGAAGAAACGAGCAGCTCGAAGGAACCGAGTAGCTCGAACAGAAGCGATCGCCTCGGAGGAGGCGGATTCTCGGTTCTTTCGAGCTACTCGCTTCTCTCCAAGCTACTCGGTTCTTTCGAGCAGCTCGCTTCTGTCCGAGCTACTCGGTTCCTTCGACCTGCTCGTTTCTTCTGAGTATTCGACTCGGATCGAAAACTGGGTCTCGACTCGACTCGACTCGCGAGCAACTCGAAACATCCGAGTGTTCTGCAGGCCTAGTAAAGATACTTTATTGTGTAGGAAAATTTATACAGTGATAGTTCAAGATAGCTCGCTAACGTTCACAACCGTCGCCGAAACAAAACCATACTGATCAAGGACTAACCTATGTGGTATAGAAGGGGAATTAACAAAAGTCGCGCACATTAACAACGACACCACGATTCGTGACATTACGCTAAACCGACGGTTGAACACTTATCGCGCCGAAAACGTTTATATCTCGCCGATGCTTTTATTCCGCCGCCCAATTATATCCGGAACATACTGGTCCATGGAACATTAGTCTTACAAAGTATACTTGTATCATTACTTCAAATAAGTAATCTCGTTTCACACTAAATCTGTTATTACTCACGATAGTACGTGCGAATAGTCTCGTGAATCGAGTAAGTTGTAAGTCGAGTACTACCTGTATTCTATACTTATTTGTGTGATTTCGTAATAATATTAATATCGTTTCACAGGTATGGCACTACTGCGACCTCAACGGTGGCAAGTCGTCGTTCTTATGCCCAAACGGTACCATATTTAGTCAAGTGGCCCTAACGTGCGATTGGTGGTTCAACGTCAAGTGCGAAACGACGACGCAATTATACGTATTGAACGAACGACTTTACAAGTACATTCTGCCAGTAATGCCAAAGTTCCCCGAGGATTTTACCGGGCCGGAAGTGGATCGGTATTTGGAGATCAAGTTCAAGGAGATGGAGAAGAAATTGAAGGAGAAGCTGAAGAAAGAGGAACAAGAGATGCTCAAAGAAAAAGCAGAAACGCGGAAGGAAGACGAATAATCGATGTATAGCTTGTAGTTAAATTATTCTAATTTGGCCAATTTAAGCCTAGCTCATGTCATACATGCCTTGTTGCCATTATTTGTTATATATTGCAACAAATAATTATAGGTTGCGTTCGTCGAATGAATTTTTGTGAAAGTTAAAAATGTGCAATACTTATATCGTAGGTTCGTGTGATTTATATTTAGCGTACTATAAGCATACTATGACGTCTAATCTAATTATTCGAACACATATAGAGCAGTCAGGAATGTCAGAAACGAACAAGTATGAAATAACTGATAATGTCAATAAGTATTTTCTTGTCCTCTAGTCATATTTGTACTGTGTAATTATTTATAACAGAATGTACTCTACTATTTTATAGAAAGTTTGTGCATTTACACATGCATTACGCGGACCAATGGTCTTACTTTTTTATTAAAGATATCACATATACAGCCTAAATACTCTCCTGATTCTGAGGAAATTATTCACGATTCTTATGACTATATGTTGCGACACATAAGTCCTTCGATTCTGTACTTGTACTTAATACTGTTACAAGTACTAAATAAATTTATTTATTTATCTTTTCGTAATATATATCCAATTACTGTATATGCGAAAACCTCTTTTATAATAAAGATAAAATCTAAAAAAAAAACTTACCTTTTGTGCCTGACGAATCCTCTGCAGGTTCTCTGCAATGCGTTCGGACACCTCATAAAACTGTGGAATCAACTCCTTATTCTAAAGACAGACAGAGACAAGAATGCATTATTTTCCTTGCGTAACATCATGATACATCTTTAAATAAACATTGGTTAATATACAAACCTTGTTAATTAGTGGCGCATAATTATGTTTTGTATGTAAGCGCAGCATACAATGCGAGCACACGGCTATTTCACAGTCTTCGCAGTAATATCCTAATGGCTCTACGCAACGATCGGAGCATGTAGTTTGGATAGTAAAAGAATTTTCATTCATTTCTTCCGATAATATGATTTTTGTGTGACTTTGCAGTGCTCTTCCATGAATCTGACAAAATATACAAGTATGTATTTACTTACCATAACCTGTAATAATTGGTACAAAACAATAAAAGCAGACAGATTACAATAAAAAATATACCTTGAAGTAGCATTTGTGACAATAAAGAGCGATACACTGTGGACACCTTACAGTTGCATGAAACCCACATTCGTGGCACAAACCTGAAGGTAAAGATAATTTACTTAAAACCTTCTTTCTAATTTAAAATATTTAGACATTTCCAAGTAAATACAGACCTTGTACAGATTGTTTCTTTAACTTGGAAGTAGCAGACTTGTAGAAACAAATATTGGAATCATCTAAATCAACTGGTCGATTATGAGATACAACCATTAAACCCAGGGCATACATATTTACAGGTAACAAAAAGTTCTGATTATCTTTGCTTTGCAAAACTGTCTTACATATAGGGCAAGGTTTATTAAATCCTTTACTTCCACATTTATCACATATGACGTGACCACATTTCAATAATAAAGGAACTATCCCATTCAAAGGAACAAATCCTGAAACAAACGTATTAAGGGAATTTCTTAAACGTTTTTTCCAAAATGCACAGTATTCATGAAGAACAATGCAAAAAACGCAGAAAAATATATAAACAATATCCACTATCTCAAACTGTATGCTATTCTAACCTCTACCATAGTTAAATTCATATAAGTAGCATTTCGAAAGTATATAACCTAATGATGCTTTTAATTCATACATTAACAGACTAGCAACAGTAATATACTCAGGAACAAAAATACAAGAAAGTTTCATGAAACAATAGCTTAAACAAAGCTTCAAAAGGTTACAAGTCAACAATCATTTGATTATTAACACGTGTATTGAACAAATAATTGGGTAAAAAAAATACCGGTAAACGTATGATTAAAAGCATTACAAAATTACCTTGTAGAAAAAACTGGTGTTTGCATTCTAAGCAATAGACGTAGCGAAGCTTTTGCGGAGGAAAAACGTAATTGCACGAGAACTTATTGTTCTCTCGTTGATTGAACATTTTGTTCAATGTACGCTGACAAACTTTATTAACACAAATTTCAGACACTTTTTATTACGAGACAGTGAACAGTTTCTATCTTACACTCCGCGCACGACCATGCGGAAAACGAAGTATGTTGGCACCATACATTTGAATTGTTCCCCAGTGCTGGCACGCGATGTTGCCAATAACCAGCGCTCTTCGAATACAATTTACTATTAAAAAATTATTGTTCTATTTCCATAACCAATTACTAGGTACAAAAAGTAATATGAAGATACTGGTAACATATCCATTATATAAAAATAAATAAAATATTCACTTTATCTAAATGGACAGAAAATGTAACTGTACCTTCTGCCTGTTCAAGATGGAGGGCGGGTAAACAAGATCACGTGACCGCGGCAGAATCGTTTTGATAGAAGGATATTTGCGAAATAACTATGCGAATTACGATATATATACTGATATGCTATTAACTGTGATTATAACAATAGTTTTTGAAAGCTATGTTACCGATTTTTAGGGTATTTGTCACGTTGTTCCAAACTTTAACTCGCTACATTTTGTAGCCTAAATAATACGGTCCTGATCAGAATGGCGGGCTGCAAGATTTTGTATCGTGTACTTCAAATACAACTTTACTAAACTTTAGTTTACTTTAGTTACAACTATGGTAACATTTTATGTATTTGTATTTGCACGTAATTAATTCAAACAGATTATATTACGTTTTATGACATAGATACATACATTACTAGTGAAATACGATTGCATTGCAACTTTCAACGATCATTAATCGATTAACAAAATTTTCATAGCAAAGACTCATTAACGCGCCAAGAAGGGCACATTTTTATATCATATTACGTACAGTATAGAAGAAGGTTTTTCTCACTGATACGTAAAGAATCAGATCTTTCTTTCTCTTTCTTCCCGCGCAAAATCTAGTAAAATATTTGATGCTCAAAGAATGGTAAAAAATGATTGTAACGAGACGTACCTAATTCTTAAAGTAAATATCAGAACGTAATCGATGATTGTCTGCAACCGTTCCTTGCGTGTTTACGTCTCAAAACTCTCAAAAGTTATAAAAGATATCAAGCACACCATTTGACCGCTGAAAGCGAACAGACGCCGACGAGTCACGTGACCGGTAAGTGTGGTCACGTGATTAAGAAAGTTTTGTAATTCTTAGGACAGATGTCGCTACGATCCAGAGAACCGTACATTTTGGCAAAAACATAAAAAGACAGGTGGATAAGCGGTGAAGTTATGTTGGATTCATTGGATTCTAGGCGCGGTCGCAGCAAAGGTCCGTTATGATCCCACCCAACACGATCGCTTCAGCGAGCAAGAAGATCTTCAACCTCGTTCGCCATGTTCCGACTAGATGCTAGTCTCACGACATTGTAAATATAACTTCAACTATACTGTATGTACTATACTAGTACATACAGCGACTTTGCTTTCTCAGCGCGTAGCGTCGAATCGACGAATGTTTTCCTTTTTTTCTAAGAACGCATTCTAAGAATACCTTCGACAACGTAAATTAAGAGAGCAGGATGTTATTAAGTCGTAGATACGTTGTTTATGTATGAATTCGCGCAGGAATCTAGATACAGGTTAGCTCTTCGACGACAACTTTGTCGCATTTGTATACGTTCGATGCAAAGCAAGCTGGCCATCTATTTCTGACAAGAAAACTAATCTGCTGAGCAGATTATAGCCTGAATGTTTATATAGGAAATGTATCGCATCTTTTAGCTTAGCGGTTCTCAAACTTTTTTCGTTCTCATAAGTACGGCTAGGTGACCATGCTTTTCAAAGAGATGCACTCTTTGAAATGATAAAACAGAAAAATCAGTTAACTGTTCACGTTGCAAGTTCTTTCTGTTAAAGCTGTAAAAGTTTACTTATTAGTACAATAATATAATATTTATATGGAATGTATTTATATATGGATTATATATTCCTCATAGTTTTTCATCTAATAAAAATGAACAGTTTTCGAGTTAAATTGTATTTCATCGCAGCAGGTGTTCAAAATGTTTTTCGCCCATTTCGATGCGTGCCTCGACACGCTTCCTCATTCAAGTTCGCACACGCTCAAGAATGCTATGTTTTTTCTTATTTCTCCAGGAGAAAAACTGACACAGCGTTTCCTACGAAAGAGAACACTCGATGCAGCGGCCTTACAACGCATATCTTATTTTTAAACTACTGAATTATAGACCAATCTTTACCAACAATTTTTTGCTTGTTTGGATATATATTATTTCCATTCTTCAACGTTTACGAATCACTACCAGGAAATGCGTCACCTGCTACGATGAAGTCACATTTTTCTTCGTAATTCGAAGATACCTGGCCTATAAAGATGTTCGTTTATTTTTTTATGAATTTAGACGAGTCCTACGTGCAACTACATTTTTGACCACCAACTCTAGGACGTTCTGTATAATAACAACGAAACCGTTAGGCGTTACGTTTTATTTTTCAAGGAAAAATCGCTATATATATGAATATATACTCTAATATTAGCTATTGCAATATTTTGTTTTATCTACTCAACGGTTATTATTTATTGAACTAAAGCTAGCATTATTTTCCCAACAGCTGCGAAACAAAGGAAAGTAATGGCTTCTCGCGTAGGCGGTGATTTCCTACGTTGAATATAACATTGTTCATTGCCGAAGTACCACGGTATTTAATGGAGAGAGGATGACCCTAGCCCTCAGCGACTACATAGGTACGGTGGAAGTCGGACTTTGCACGAAGCCGACCTTTGCACTAGAAAGTGCACTACGCCGAGTAACGCGTTTCGAAGATGTAGAGATTCCAGCTGTTCGACGGAAGAATTTAGCGATACGGGATGAGTAAGAACAAATATGAGACTGTCCACCCAACAATTGTTTGAGTTCCCAATTTTCCCAGGTCAGTTTATATTTACACGCATCCAAATGTATAAAAGCCACAGATGCAAAAATATATGAAACATCAACAATAATATACATGTTGCACCGTTTAGAAGATAAGACACCCATTTATGTTTCAGTTCATGACCTAATCCATCTCTTATTATGCATCAGTAGGTATCTCTAGGCTTGTGAAATGTTTTGTTTGGTAAGATTTCTTCTGTACCAACTACATCGATAAATTGACAA